TATCTAGGACAGCTATTAAGTAGCTGCAAGTATGAGTGCACCCTGGTAGGGTATGTGGATGCGTATAGTTCCTTTGTAGTTGTAGTGCGTTGTTACCCTCTCCTAAAATACTGTAAATGCTGTGGGGTTTTTTTTTTTCTTCATTTGATCCCATCCCTCTTCTTATCCTTATAATAATTGTACGTGACTTCTTTTCACAGTGAATGGGGGACCTAGACGTAATAGCCATACTTTTAATTGCCGTATGCTGGTGAAGCCAATAACCGAGTGTGAAGAAGAGAACCCCGATGGACAAGAAACTAACCAGAAATATGAAACTATGCAGTGTTTTGCTGTATCCCAACCAAAGTCCATTAAAGAGGAAGCAGAAGGTAAAGGAATTATCTGGCTGTTATCAGATAAGCAATTAACAGACTTTTCATTTCACAGTCTACAGGTTAGGTTTTCATGAATTAACTTCTAATTGTAACTTATGTGTGATGCACATAGAAAGCAGGAACTGTTGAAGCAGAACTATGGGGTTAAGGCTTTTCCCCATAGTTCTCCTTACGGTAACAGGAGGACACAAACTAGCGTCCTCCCGTCACCCTAGGCTCAGTATACCGCGAGCTGTAGCTTGCGGTATACTGAGACGCCGCAGCTGAAGCGGATCCCGACAATTGTGCCGGGATCCACCCAGCTGCGTGACTGACAGCTGGCTATGCCTATCTAGAGGCAGAGCCAGCTGTACCCTCCCCCAGACTGGCGGGGGGGGGGGAATCCAGCCCCTCCCCTGTTACGGCAGAGAGCCGTGACAGGATCGAGAGGTGAGCGAACGCCGGTATCTGTTCGCTCACCTCCCGATCTACTGAGCCGACCTGTGAGTCTCATTGTCACAGGTCGGCTAGAACTATGAGGTGAGTGAAAAGCACTCACCTCATAGTTCTCCTTTTAATGTTATACAGAACTATGCTGAATATATGACCCTTTAAGTATTAGCTAGTGTGTAGATGCTCATAAATATACATAGCACATGCAGTATATGCAAGTACTGATTCTCCGATGACTTATAATGTGAGTTGTAAATGGTTAAACTCTTAATAAGCATTTTTGAGCTACAGAAGTGAAGTATCCCATTGTAGAAAAAGGAAATGTTCCCTCCCATACATCTCTTGTCCCCAAACTGCTAGCCCCCATTCCTTTTTGTGGGTGTTTCTATCAACTAGCCGGCTGCTGTGGAGACACCGATGTGTGCACGTTGCCGGCTGTGCCCGCGCCTAGCTATGTGCGTCTATAGACACACACACACAGCCTGCGGCAAACCACTCTCCCGCTCCTTTCACTGCGCTCCTCCCAACAGATTGACTGCCGGCAGAAGGAGCCTATTGCTTCTCTGCCCTCAGTACCCTCCCCCACAGCTAGGAAGTTCTGGGAATCTTCCTGGACCCAGCGGAGGCGACAAGTGACCATAGGTAAGTGTAGAAGGGACAGGAACATGGAAAGGTACTGGGTGTTATTTTACCTTAATGCAGAGAATGCATTAAAAACAGCCTGCCTTTAGTACTACGTTAAAGGTGAGGGGCGCCAAACGAGCACAGGCATATCTATCATTGCCGTGAAACATGTCTGGTAACCCTAAATGCCTTGGCTGTGCAGAACGAGCTATTTAACCATATTTACTTATAGGACAGTAAAAATAGTTCTTTCAAGTGGATCAAAGGTAGAAAAAAGTTAAGTGATGGTAAAACCTGTGATTTGGTGTCAACGTGTTTGGTAGATTCTCATTTGTCAGTACAGAGGCAAAAACCCTGTGCACTCACAGCTTGCATTCCTGTGGGGTGATATAGAGCAAGCATGTAATGCGTCTAACGTTCAGTGCATCTTTCAGTGGTCAGACTGCTTCCCACGAAATAACCAAATTGTTATTATTGTGGGTTCCATTAATTGAAAGAAAAAGTAGCAAAACAGTAGAGTCCCACTAGCTTGCTGCTGACTATATGCAGTTGGGGGAGACCAGATGTTAAAGTGATGTGAATGTTAATGCTCTCTCCCATGATGGACTATAATTTCAACACAAATTAGTAAACTAAATGTGAGATTGTAGTCCAAAGTGAGCTTTGAGCAGTGACTACTTTCTGACACACACACAGGGACCATGGGGAACAAAAGTAGCCACCCTCCAGAAGGGACAGTGTCAGCACCAATTCAGAGATGATTTGAGGATCTACAGCCGAGTGATACACAAATAAGTTACTTTTTTTTTTTTTAAGTGAATAGACGTCTATGGTACACATGCTCTTTTCTGTTACAAATATATTTGTGGTCACTGGCCCGTAGCCCTGGTGCTCTTCTTTGCACTGATGAGAACAGTTGAGGATTTTCCCTTTTTTCCAGATTTTCCTTAGCTGACCCATTTTTTTTTGGACACTTTTTCTTATAAAGTACATGTGGTCACAGGATGATTGATCCCTGTGTGATTTGAGATAATCTTCTGGTGAGTAAAAAAATGAAAGCTGCATTTGTAAAGTCTAACCCAGTTAACCCTAGTTTGATCTCACAGGCTGACTGATAGTCATCTGAACCTGTGAGAGTCAGGTTTTAGATTCTGGGCTCTAATGGTTATTTTGCATTAGAAAGGTGTTTATAATCACAATCTTAAGTACAACCTTATAAAAAGCTGTTTTTTTTTTTTTGTTTTTTTTGCTTGGCCTTGACCTAAGGAATCTTTATCCTGACAGCTTGTGAGCACATTGTCCAGTTTTTTCAGCAATTCTTATTTTTCTCTTGAAGATTTTCAGTCCTGCTTGATTTGTGTGGCAAGAAGAGTACCTATGAAAGAGAGGCCTGCACCGCCTCCATCAGAAACATTCTCAACACGTCAGGACTTGCAAGGTAACAATCCATCACCGCTACTCGCTGCCATTATCTCCTAACTTAGGTACTTTTTTTTTTTTTCTTTTCTTTTGAATCAGTTGTATACTATCTTTTATTTATTATTCCAGGTAAAATAACCTCTCTGGACACTAGCACTATGAGGGCACTAATGAGACCTGGTTGGGAGGATTTGGTGAGGCGGTGTATTCAGAGGTTCCATGTCCAACCGGACGGCGACATTTCTCACAGCAAAAGGCATCATCAAGACGGTATCCATTCTTAGTACAAGATTTTCACCTGTTGTGTTGCAAGATTTTGCTACAGTCTATCAAACCCTGTCTTACTGTGGAACCTTGCCCTCCAAATGTATATTTTATTTAAATGCATGCTTTAGATCAGAAACTTACAAGCCTTGAAATTTTGTTTTATGTGAAAAACAGCTGCCCAGTCAATCTACCACCATAAAAAAAAATTGCCTCTCTTGGACCTGCACACTTCTCCACTCACTCGCTCACAGCATCACTGACATGCCGAAATGAGAACTGATGGCAACCATCATAGATGCCCTTCTGGCTGCAACACAGAGATTCATAGCCATAAATGTGCCTTATTTTTATCATTGGCCCCAAATACAGTTCCGCTTTAAGCCATCCTTCGATCTATTTTGTTAACAATAGTAAAATATTACCCTGTAGCTGTTGCATATGTTAATTTCTTAAAAGCAAAATATAATGGGTTTGAGTCGGTTTTATTTTAAATGTTTTTGGATCATCTATATGCAGTCTTTGTTTTACAAATATTTAGTACATGGCCTGTCATTCAAGAGCACTATAGGTTAGTTAAAGAGATGGCACGGTAGACACTTTGTTTTGAGGCTCTGTCTGCTTAAAACTTAAGCCGACTTAAAAGGGATCAATGACTTCTCCTCCACGTCCTGATCATAACAGGTGTACAAAAGCAATGTACGCTTTGGTAAAGAATATTAATGAAATATTTGACAATACTGTATTTGAATGTGTTCTGGTGATGGCCAGGTATGTGAATGCATCTGTACTAATAGTCTTTGTGTTCCTGTGCTCCTTCAGTTCTCAGGCAAGGGCTCGCACTGAGTCCAATATACCGATTTTCATTGTCGGACGGCACGATTGTTGCAGCCCAAACAAAGAGCAAGCTCATCCGCTCCCAGAATACGAATGATCCTCAGCTCGTAATATCCATACATATGCTTCAAAGGTAAGCAGGATAATATTGGTGTTTATTTATAGATTTTGGGCCATGTGTTAAACATGTGCTGTGTAAACATATACTTAAATAAAAAAAATTGTTTGCTTATATTTGGCATATGGTAGTGTCATGGAATTTCAGAAGAAGAATTGGAAGTTTAGCCATATTGCGTATCGTTTGTGTGCTAACAAGTTATTAAAGATGCAAGCTTTTGGGACCTTCCTCAGGTTCCTCAGCTGTTTTGCAGTACGGAAAATGGTTCTGAAACCCACATATTTATACACCTATAGAAGAGACTCTTACCCAATGGACAGTATCACTTAAAATATCAGTAGTAATCAATGTCTAACATAGTACAAGACTACTACTGATGATCATTGAAAAGGTTATAAATGTCTTCCTATATTTCTTTCAACTTATGTGCTTTAAATTGTTCAGGTTTGTTACCGGTTTACTTGCAATAGTTTGCAGAGGAGAAGGGTCCCCACAGCTTAGTAGAATGAACTTGGGGCACTGGGCAGTTGTCCAGTTTGCTCCCCTTGCTCATATGCATTTATAGCCTTCGTCTAGAGTAATGTGATAGTGTTTTATTAGTCCTGAAGTGTTTACATACCAGAGTGAATTGTCAGTTATTTGCAGCTTGCCTCTACAGATCAGTGTCGGGGATCTCAGATTGATGCCATGTTCTGCAGAAATTCATTCTGCAACCTGCTTAGCAAACCAGCTGTTTTCCCAAGAAACAGATTCCACCAAGTGTCTTTCTGAGACTCTTGTAGCAAACCGACTTGTCTCGGCATGTTACTATGATGATTTATATATAAATATATATACAGCACTCAAACAGAAAATTGCATTTTAATTTTATCATCAAACATATAAAGCCTCTGTTCTTGGCTGGGGTGAAGCTTTTGGTCCGTGTACACAAACCTTCTACTTTTAAAAGAGGAACGCATTCCAATATGGGTCATAAAATCCAATCTGCAAACAGTCTCTGAAAGCCCTGATTTATGCAATGATTAGGCCTTAAACTAAAAAAACGAAGAATTATTGGCAAGAATGAGTTATTATAGGCAAGTATTATGATTGTTGACTATTAAATTTTGAGCAGCCATCATTTTAGATTTACAATGTGCAGATCTAAAGTTACCATATTTGCAAAACAGGTGTTGTAATGTAGCTGTGTATACCCACATATAATCTATAGTTAGTCTGGCTCAAGCCCATGATTTCAGCCTTTGGACGATCACTTTAGCGTAGATCAGGAATATACTCCCGTTTTTATTCACATTTTGTTGCATCTGAAATATTTTATCAATCATGTAGAAGTTTGTACATATGCTGTAAAGCATAAGCTCCTTGGCCAGTAGTATACATTCTTCCTGAAACCAGCCTTGCAAAATCAGGAGCAACTTCTGCTTGTGGAAATACACAATTATATAAGTAAATATTCTATGACACAACCTGGATTGTTTAATCTTCAACTATGTTATAGTGTAGGAAATACCTTGAATCTGACTAAGAAGACCTGTATTACCATAAACGCAAAATGTTTATTTTTTCCCCTCTTAAAGAATGCTTTTCTTTTTCTTCCACTGAGGACTATAGGGACACCTTCAGGTTCTACTGTTGCCTATAGTAGGATTGGACACTGGCAACAAAAAAAACTGTATGTCAGCCCAAGGTGACCCCTCCTCCTACCAGTGTTTCTCAGTTTTTTTGCTAGTCCCTGGAGGATGGACATCTTTTTTCTGTCTTTTCTCTTTAATATGTACTCTTGACTACATCTCTGCTGGAGCTTTGTGTCTTTGCTGCTATTTGGTGCAAGATCATCAACACTCTTATCAACCTCATCCGGACCCCACTGGACTAAATGTTGTGTGGATAGCCTAGAAGTGACTCCATAAAGTAAACGTTTGCTTCAGAGCACTCTATATAGGTCTGGGTGCTTTAATTCCTCGTTTCTGCTGCTTTTGCCATAGAAGGGGTTAATGCTGTGTAACTGGCCGCTGATGTCATACGCTTCCTGGAATGTCGCATGCTCTGCATTCTCTTTTCCACCTGCTGCTCCTGCTTGCAAAGAGCCACATGGAACTTTGATCCTTGATTCACTCTTGATGCCTGCCTACAATGACCATTTTCGCCTCTAGCCATCTGACCATCACCTGGCTTTTCGGAGTACCTGAAGTCTCACCTCTTACCTGTAGCCTATATGATGCTTTACCGGCATGTGGTAGCCACATGCTCAATTCTAGATAAGGGGGGGCAGTCCTGCTGTACCAGGTGCTCACTTTCTACAAACAGCTCAGAGGTTTTGGGTAACATGCCTACTTACCATGCCGGTGTCTGCAGCCTGGAATCATGTTGCCCTCTGCTCTTGGAGCCGGTTCCCCTCTCGGAATTGTGACTTTACTTTGTCAAACCATGCCTGAATGGTAAAACCCCCTTAGAAGATCTCTAACCCCTGCTGCGGTTGATCCCTTTGCTTATTGAACATGTGGAGCAGATTGCTGTAGCAATAATTGTTAATTATGATGGTTTGCTGGAAGCTCCTCATCTAATTTCCTGTACACGTCTCATGTCCGTATGTATGTCTAGGGCACTTTGTTTAAAGTGCTGGATCTTTTGTGTAAGAAGCGTTCAATTTGTATGACCAAGGAACTATGAGGGGAATTTATCAAAACTGGAGCAGACAGAATCTGGAGCAGTTGCCTGTGGCAACCAATCAGCTTCTCTCTTCAGTTTGGTTTGAAAATGAAAGGTGGATGCTGATTGGTTACCATGCACAGCTGCTCCAGTTTTGATAAATTCCCCTCAATGTCTCTTCGGACCGGCTCTTGAAATATTATCAAGGATGCTACTGGGGGCACGAGCACCAATCTTGCTTAGGGGAAAAATCTAGGCGACCCCTCTCCATTTGTTGACTGTAACATTTTCATGTATATGTTGCAAACATGTACCACAATATCTTTCCAAAACATCTGTCCCTAGACACTTTCTAATTCAGTCTCTCACATTTTGTTTGACTGTTGTACGGTAGATGGGTGGGGTGGGTGTCTCATGTAGCTTCAGCTTCCACTGTCCTGTCACTGTTACTCCATGGGGTCTAAATCTTATTCTCTCTGCACTTCAAAAACTGCTGTTTCAAACCCTTTAAAGACATTCCTCTCTTCTCACCCACAAGGTGGTTTTTCAACATGGCAGCCTTATCCTGCAAGGAGCCTTATCTGGTTTTGCATAGGGAAACAGTGGTGCTGAGGCCCGTGACCTTCTTCTTGTCTTAGATAGTTTCTTCCTTTCACTTCAACCAGGACATTGTTCTTCCCTCCCTCTGTCTGGCTGCAGTTCACCCAAAGGAAACTTCTTTCTATTGTCTGGATCTTCTTTCAGAAAGACTGAGCCCCTTGTTGTCATCCTGTATGGACCATGTAAGAGTGCAACTCCTTCTTTTTCCACCGTCTCTAGGTGGCTTTGGCAGACCAGCATCCAAACTTGTGGTCTCAAGGATCAGATTCCACTCTTTCCTATCATGGCACACTGCTGGATCTAAAATGTATAAAATCTGCGCTTATAGACAGTGGAAGAATGTGTCTAATTACCCAATGTTAAAGCAGCTGTACTCAGGACACTAAGGTCAAGTAATGTATATAATCAATGTGCAGCGCTCAGGGTCACCAATCAATGATCTGTACAGTCCATTAATTGGTGACCCTGAGCGCTGCACATTGATTATATACACTGCTGGATCTGTTGGTGCTTCTTGGGCATTTCAGCATCAAGCAACTGTTGCTCCGATTTTTAAGGCTGCCACCTGGTCTTCTGTGCACACATTTTCTGAGTATTGCCTGGTAAACGTATAGGTCTCATCTAAAGCCAGCTTCTGCCTTAAGGTCCTACAGGAGGCTTTTTGCACTGCAGACCGTCCCCAGTTTAAAAAAAATAATTATTTTGCCCCTTCTTGGGGCTGTTAGTGATTTGTTTATTGTATTGCCCACCTCCTCAGTTATACTGCTTTTGGATGTCCTGAAGGTTAGACTTCCTCAATGGAAAAAAAAGAGAATAGGATTTATGTACTCACAGTAAAGTCCTTTTCTTGGAGTGCATTGAGGGACACCGGTCCCAGCCCTCTGTGTTTATGATCTAGCCCTCTGCATTGCTTTGCTACAAACCTGAGGCATACTGGTAGTATGGCTAGCCTAAAGTTTCTTGTCAGTGTTCAGTCCTGTAGGCAGCAGTATAACCCAAAGGTTAAAGTCTTCATGTGTCTCTCAATGGAAAATGGTTTTATGGTGAGTACAAAAATGCTATTGTTCTTTAAAAGGCAAATGATGGGCCTGTTCACTCTAGCTCGCAGCATTTTCCTGTGCAGGCTAGTGTCCGTTGTGTACGGGCGGGGTGGTGGTACTTTTGCACTGTTTCAGCACATCACACTACAGCAGAGTTGCATTGTGGTAAGTAAAAGTGACTTCAGATGAGTTCCAGTGGATTGTGGAAAAATGTGGCATGTCTGCCGTTTTCTGCAACGCATTACATCCAACCCTAAGCCAGTGTTGGTGTGATCAGAGCACATAGAAAACAGTTGTTTTCTGTGTGCCCTGTGTTTTTCTGCACAAGATGGGCCCTTAAGTGAACCAGGTTGCCAGTTTAAAATTGTTTTAAAGTCCTCTTGCAGAGCAGGTATCTACCATTAACTTTTTCAGCCACTTAACCTGCCCCTATGCACCCCACTGAAGCGAGTTTGTTTGTGTTACTGTGTGACCAGATTAGGTTTTTAGTAGTTTTTCACCTTTTTATAAATCTCTTCCGGCATTGAATATATGTATGAAGAAAATAGTTTGTTTTCTATACACATTTTGTTTCCAGGAACAGTAATTGTTTTCCTTTTGAAGGTAAACAAGCCAAGATGCATAGTTCTCCTATATCGGCACTGGCCAAGTATTTGCATAATGAAAGCCATGTTTTTGTTTTCAGGCCAGAAGTTATTCAACAGAAAAAAAATATAACCGAGCCTGTGTAGAGTTCACAAATGCTCTGAAGAGCTCCCATTCAGCTTTGCTTCTCTTTCTCTTTTTTTAAGATATTCGCTTAATGAATTCCTTCTCTAAAAAAACAAAAATTCTTAGGTCTATTAAAGCGACCCGGTCTCTTATGTGAACAGCTTTCAGGGAGACCCAGCCTGCAGCTTTATAGTTATCCTTACAGTGGGGAAAATGTGTTTAAAGCTGCACTCTCTTGAAGGGCTCTGGGCACTGCTGCTATCCAGCACTTTCAAGTCTGTCAGATAGCATGTCTTCCACTGTGGTTCCTCTCCCTGGCCTCCACATCACCATTGGACACTGTAGTTATGTGCATGACAGGTGGAGCCATACTATCTGACACTCCTGGAAGTGTCAGCAGGGGCTCTTGGAGCTCTTTAAAAGAGTGGAACGTTACAGCAGAACTCTGGGCAAATCAAATCTTAACCCTTGCAGTGGGGCTACCCCTGCATTCCAAAGGTTAAATGCTCCTTTTGTGTAGGAAGCTAAAATAACAGTTATACTCACGCGAACCACGATCCGAGCTTGTTCTTACATCGCTCCCACCAGCCTCCGGTGATGGCATGTCCCTCAGCGTCCTCACGTCATATACACTGTATTGGATGTGATGACTCGCAAGATCTCAGACCTCTGGAACAGAGGGGCAGTGAGGCTGAAGGGAGCAGTCTAAGAGCAAATCAGGATCATGTTTCAGGTGAGTATATAGGGGATGTGAGAATAACTTGGGTATTTTTAGCTTCCTGCAGGCTCGTTGAATATCTGAAAACTGGTGTGTAACCAGCATTTGTTGTATGCTGGCAGCTTCTACCTCTTTGGACATTTCTCAGATTTACATAGCAGTTTTTTCATTGCTTGAAATTAGGCTCCCATGTTCTCTACATGACACTTTTACTAGGCCTTGTGTGTACATGTTGTTTGAGGTAAAAGCAGTAGGTTCTGTTCAAGGTACCATGTGGCAGTGTAACATTTTAACACGTTTTGTTTTTTCTCCCAGAGAACAGAATTTGTGTGGAATGAATCAGGACTTGGCTGGACAAAGTATGGGAAAGCCGATGAACCCTGTCTCCAGCAGCCCGGCTCATCAGACAATGTGCAGCGGAAACCCTGGTCAGGATATGACCATAAGTAGCAATATGAATTATGCCATTAATGGCCCAAAGGAACAAATGGGCTTGCCAGCAGGCAGATATGGTGGTTCTGGGGGAATGAACCATGTCTCCAGCATGCAAGCTGCCACTCCTCAGGGTAATAACTATGCACTCAAAATGAATAGCCCATCACAGGGAAGTCCTGGCATGGGCCAGGGACAACCTAGCTCTATGCTTTCCCCAAGGCATCGTGTAAGCCCTGGAGTGGCAGGGAGTCCACGTGTTGCACCCAGTCAGTTTTCCCCTGCAGGAGGTTTGCATTCTCCAGTTTGTAGTAGCACAGGAAATAGCCATAGTTTTACCAACAGCTCTCTAAATGCACTTCAGGCTCTTAGTGAGGGCCACGGTGTCCCCCTGGCCCCGCCCATACCATCACCTGACATGAAAGGGGGTAATTTACAAAATACACCCAATAATATGAACCCTCCTCAGCTCCGAAAGATGGGCAGTGTGGACTCTAAAGACTCCTTTGGACTTTATGGGGAGCAGTCTGAAGGTGCAACTGGACAAACAGAGAGCGGAAATCGTTCATCTGAGCAGAAGGATTGTAACGAAAACATGTCTTCTGCTGGGGACAAAATGGAAGGTCAAAACAGATTGCTGGATAGTAAAGGTCAGACAAAACTATTGCAGCTGCTCACCACAAAATCAGATCAGATGGAGCATTCTCCACTATCCGGTAATATGGGAGATACAAACAACAAAGACTCCATGGGACATTTTGCATCCAATAGTTTGTCTGCCTCAGCACATGGAACCTCACTGAAAGAGAAGCATAAAATTTTGCACAGACTTCTTCAGGACAGTAGCTCACCTGTTGACCTGGCCAAGCTCACAGCAGAGGCCACTGGAAAAGAACTAAATCAGGAGTCCAATAGCACAGGCCCGGTCTCTGAGGTGACGATAAAGCAGGAACCGGTGAGCCCTAAGAAGAAAGAAAATGCACTACTACGTTACTTGTTAGATAAGGATGATAGTAAAGATAATATGGCAGATATTACACCCAAGATAGAGCGATTGGATAATAAGATGGATTCTAGCTGCAACAAATTAACGGCTGTAAAAACTGAAAAAGAGGAGCCAGGCTTCGGGCCAACTGATCAGGTAAGCACAATGGTTATTTCAAATCGCATGTAGTGAGCACGCCATGAGACCACCGTGTTGGTGCTCTCGTTTACCTATGTCTGCATGACTACAAACGCATTTCATTTGTGTGTACCTGTCATCTACACACGAGTGCAGCCATCTCTGGAATATTGGTACAGTTTATGTAAATGGATAAGCCGTATTCGTGCAGTAGAGAAGATGTATAAAAAAAAAAAAAACGGAGTATTGTAGTATGCGATGATACCTACCGTGTTTCCCCAAAAATAAGATACTGTCTTATATTTTTATGGCTAAAAAAAACACACTAGGTCTTATTTTTTTTAACAATCCACACTTATTCATGTACAACAGTCTACATGTATTCATGTAAAAAAAATATAGTAATCAGGGGTGCCGTACCTTTCCAAGAGCAATTTGATAACCAATCGCTGGCCAGAATGAGCGAAGCGCACTTTCACAGGCAGAGTGCATTTGGTATCACTCCACCTGTGACAGGAGCCAGCGCTATAGAGGAGGCATCGGCTTATGCGGCTCCAGTGCCGCCTAGCTTCCTCTAGCGCCGGCTTTGTTGGCACCGCTGATTAGCTCCCGCGGCTCTTCAATTTCCCCCTTATGCAACCATTTTATTATCAACGTGCAATTTTAGCCAAAACTTTTTTTTTTTTTTTTTTTGGTGGGGAAGAATTAGAACCTCCAGTTTTGTTATGTTGAAGAAGGTAATGATAGTGCCACACCACTGGCTTTAGAGTCCAAGATAATGGTCTTTTCATTCATAAGTAACATAAAAACTGACTAAAACAGACAATGCATTTTGGGGGTTACAAACCACTCCTCTTTATCAGGACTACAATAAAAACTTGTTGTCTAGAATAATTCAGGATGCAGCGCCCCATATCCAGACCTTTTGCAAGTTTTAATTGTTGTCTGTGTCCTGCCTTCTATTTGTCCTGCTGACCAATGTCACTGAGAGAAAATTATGGGAAATCTGACATTTTTCTGTTGCCACTAGAACCAACGTTAAGGGGAAATCTTCCAAAGAAGGGGTTCACCTGTCCTGGTGTCAACTACGTGGGGAATTCTCCTCCCTTTATAGAGATTTCCTGTCATGTTGTGTCTTCAGGGCAGGTAGTGAAGGGGAATTGCACCTAATCTGACAGGTTCCAATCCGAGCCTACACTATCCAAATGTAAAAAAAGTTATTGGCAGCTTGAGGCAGTTGCCTCATGCGGCATCTCATTGAGGCGTGTTTGGGGGTGGCTACGGCATCCCAGAAGCTTTTAACCTGTGATCCTCTGTCTGACGTCCAACCCAGCTCAGTGACATCACCGGTCTGGCTTGTGTCCTGCCCAGCTCCTGGCAACCATTGATATCAGTGATCTGGGTGGGATGCCTGGCAGTGCTGCCCGCTGCCGCCCTATCACCCCGAAACGAAATCGCTTCAGATGGCGATTAGCACAGGGATGGCCCTGAATATAGGCTTTGCATACACTTTAGATACATATAATATATGCATACGTAGGCACAATATTTCTGCTAAAACCATCTTTAAGGTTGAGAGAGAGTCCCTTGGATATAAAATATAGGTATATATGCAGTCATTGAAGTCATTTACAGCACTGCAATAATCATTGATATTGCTAGGATGTTTATAGCCATATGGAGTGCAGGCGACACACTACAACACTTGCTGGGATGTTGGATACGCATCTAGTTTTTTATTTCTACAATCAGATGCTGGCATTCCACATGGGTGCCAGGTAATCTGTGGCTGTCTCTTGTTCTTCCTATGGTCTGGAACTGTTGTCCCCCTTAATCTGCGCAGCCATGCCAGTCAGAATCTATCATATCTGTTCAATGTGGTTATAGCTGTCAGATTTCAGCTGTTTATACAGCGGCTGAACCTGACGGTAGACGTTTTACAGATCTGGTGGTTCTTGCTTTTTTTTTTTTTATGTAATCACTCATTTGGTTTAAAGGTTGTGTCTGACAAACTTCCTGCATTCATTTGTGAATGTCCCACCGAAGCACAAGGCTGCTGTTTGTGTACCGCAAGATCCATGCCATGGAGTGTGTTTGTTTAGAATAGAGAAGTCTTCCGTGGGAGCTTGACTGGGGCTTATGGGTAGAGTGCCTAATGCTGCTTCTATGCGTAATGACCAGTTTATCATTAAACAGTTTGGTGACATTTGACTGGATCTTCCTCCGGGGTGATACCTCTCTGATAAAAACAATCAGTGAAAATCTGACACTGGCTCTAATCCAGCCTTTCTCAGCTAGGGTGCCGGGGCACATTGGTGTACCTCCTGGGCTACTCTGGTGCCTCAAAATATTGTGGTAGTGGGACTGGGATGTGAAAAGGAAAACGCTCATGTAAAAGTGGGGCTCCTGACGTAAAAGGGGGACTCATGTAAAAGGGGGGCTCCTGATGTAAAAGGGGAACTCTCACGTGAAGGGGGCTCCTGATGTAAAAGGGGAACTCTCACTTGAAGGGGGCTCCTGATGTAAAAGGGGGACTCTGTTGTGAAGGGAGGGAAATCTTGATTTGTAGGGGGAAACCCACTTTCTTTGTATGTTTTTGCATGAGGTCCCCCTTTTTAAAATCTGACATTTTAGACTGGGATGCCTTGAGATTTTTGCATACTTTCAAAGGGAACCGCAACTAAAAAAAAAGGCTGAGAAATGCTGCTCTAATCCTTCTCCACTTTACTCCAATGTTGACTTTTGTTATATAAATAGCTCATTACCGCACTGTGTGCCTTTTAAACAATATAGTAATTTTCCTCTGAATAAATCTTTGTTGTAAATGGCACTTCACGATAGCAATTCATTACCAGCGTGTCACTCTTTTCTGCCACTGAACCTTGTACACCGAGATTTGCATGGAGGCAGCAGATTGCACAAATGAAAAGGAAAGCTGCGTTTTGTTGAGTTTTGCTATGACAGTTTGGCACCATGACATTTCATCTGGGTTATGTACATTACTCATCTGGCTGGAACCAGTTTCCCTTTAAAATCGGCACGTGATTGCTGTGTCTCCACCCTGTGTGAGTTTCCCCTTCACCCAGCACAGGCGGCTCTGCTCTTCTCTCACCCACACAGTCCTCACTAGTCTATGAATTTGTAGTTCTTTCACTTGTACATTTCCTTCCTCATCTCTCTATTCTCTCATTCTGATCTTTTCTTTATCAATAAAAAAGGGGATGAACTTTAAAATACAATATTTATGAAGGGCTACTGTACTTACATTAGTTGATTTCTGTAAAACATAATAAGATTAGTGTGCATGTATGTAAAGGTCTCAGGCATGTCATATGAAGGTGGAATAGTTGGGAGTGATGCTTGCAATCTCACAGCAAACGTCTGTAATGAGCAGATCCCTCCTGACCATCCTCATTTTCTGCTGTGTGAGGTAGATTGCCTGGATTTGTTTGCTGCCAGTGGGCACCTTTCACACGGACTGATGAGGAGGGGATCCATGCACGGATCCGCTCCTGATCGAAGCAGTACAGATCAGTTGTCACCGTTGTGACATCTGTGGCCGTCTAGTTTCTTTCCTCCATCGAAAAAAGCCGTTAAGGCCCGGACCACATGTCAGTCTATGGGGAATTGGATGTAAACTGAAATGTGTCAATTTACGTAAGATTACCTATTACACTCTTCAGATCTGTTTTTCCAGACCTGGCCAGAGTCGGGGGTAACCGTGTGTAAACCTGTCCATTTAGACCCAGCTGCCCATAGACTAGCATTTAGGCAAACTATCGGATCCGCCTAAAAAACTGACAGGTGGACCTGATTGGACCGCCCATGTGAAAGGCACCTAAAGGGGTGGGCTTACGATGACTGTAATGAGGGGCGGGCTTACGATGGGCCCGTTCGGCAGTTGTCGAACCAGCAGGCCACTAACTCGCCGAGAATCGTACGATTCCCGGCGGGTTTTCTAGCATGCTGGTTCGACGGAAGACGTGCGACCGTACAGTAGAAACGGTTGCACGCCTTCCATACACTGCACGATTCTCGTACGATCGTGGGATTTCCCGCGATTCTCGTACGAGAATCGAGCAGTGTATGGGCACCTTAAGATTCTTCAAAAGCATTTCATCCACTTATGTTTAGTAGGCCTTGCCAAGATAAAGGCAAGCTATGGGGTGCCTCTTGGCCATACCACTTATGTTCTGGGCATTGCTTCCTGAGAAAGTGTTACATGGATTTTAATTCTCACTATCCTGGTGTTCCAGTAAACGGGTCCACATACTGATGTGGCTGTCATCTTCCAGGAGGTGGCTGGATAGAGTGCAATTGGTTTACAATTCGGAAAACTGAAAAGCCTAAAACTGGCCACACACCAGTAGATTTCTTTCATTCAGCTTGCTAGTACAATGAAAAAAAAATCAAACGGATTCCCCCATCCAGGCTAACCTCCGGGTTATTGTATTCCAACAGAGGAGTGTGTGTCACTGTCAGAAATCCAAGCAGTGACTGCAGTTAAGTGGCTGAAGTCAGGATTTGGATGAGAATTTTCCGCCTGGCTTCTTTGATTTTTGGATTGAAGGATGTTAAGCAGGGAGCTGCGGAAAGGGCAAATTTCTTAGTGTATGGCCAGCTATAAATGATAACCCCACACCAAGTCTCTTACACGCCTGTCCTTGCACCTGCCAAATCCTGTGTGAATTAACACTGCAAAGTCCCATGGCCAGGTAGCTGCCTTTTCTGTGGGTGTGCAGGAAAAATCCCATTCATTCCAGTAATGAGGCGGTCTGTCTGTTATGGATGCCTGCAGTGGAAGATGCATCTCTCTGAGGAGACTTTGCAGCAGTGTCTGTGCAAAATTGTGGACACCAAATGCTGTGCGTTCCAGAGCGGTAGCTGCTGGATGCACTGCAATCCCTCACAAAACTTCCCCCTGCGTTCTGGGGTGGGAGGGGGCGTGGCAGTGTATTGAATTCAATGGCACCGCTTCCACGCCCCCAACCGCCCGCAGTGCAATCGGACGCGTGGCA